TTATGCATATGCATATTATTCATCGGTTCCATTATGTACCGTATCATAAAATTCCTTTAACTTACATTCCGCATGCTATTTTACTATGATAACTGAATACATTTCTCATTGGTACCATCATAATTTTTTCTTACATCATAGGACATCTATATAATAATTCAGATATCTATACCACTTTTAGGGTATTTCATACACTATGGTAGTTATATACTATTACACTATTAGTGTCAACTGCACTATCTTGCCAAATATCATATCTATTAAACATATCTTTATTTTGGAACCGATCATATACAACCTACATTTCAGGTGTAGTGATTCAAGTACAATTGGCAAGATTTTATCTCAATGTATACACATAATTAATATGACCAAAATGTATCTTCAGCGCTATGCAACATGAGTCATAACTGAATACAAATCAAATCATAAATGTGCAACATATCTTGATAATGTATATACAAAAGTTGGCATATATATAACTTTTCAAACTACCATTATAGGGATCATATTTATTATTTATTTATTTTAATTAATTTTTCCAACTTTTGCTAATTCGTTCTTCTCCCCCTTAAGTTGGTAAAATATCTCATTTATAGGGGCATCTTATTATATACCAACTTAGTAGACAAATTTGCATTAATAAATTCACTTCATTAGGAGGATCACAATAAATAATTTATCTCTTTTGGAGAACAATTTCAATGAAGAATTATTTATTCATTAACTTTATATTTCATGTGTATTTATTATTAAATTTTCAATAATATTTTCTCTTCTGGAGATCAATGTCAATGGGGAGACATATGTTGTGCAGTTGTACGTTTTTCTTTTTTTCTCCTATTTCATATGTGCTGACATATAATAGCCCAAATCAAAAAAATTGTTATCCAAGCATAAATCACTTGCTCGTAATTCTAGTTGGTGATGATCTTCTGGATCTTTAAAGACTTAAATAGTATATTTGGTGAGCTTCTAATCACTTGAAAGTTGACAATAATATATAAGTTATTTTGGTGAACTTCTGGTCAGCCATTACTCCTTTATATAAAAAAATCAAAACACATTAAATCTTGAAATTTTCATCAATACAAATTATTAAAACTCACAATCCAAATATAACCCAATCTCAATGTTACGTCTTGCCATTCAATTCATTTTATATATTTAACATTGAGAAAGCGTCAGCACATTATCAAATGAAACTTCAGGTTTCCATTACGGGTAATTATTATTAAACCCGGATGACCTAATTTAATTATCACATCCAATCACTTCTCTAAATTTGAACTTTGGTCAGTTTTCAACACTAGTGATCACTTTATTAAACTTACTATATGCATGGCCATGAATGTCATGTGATTTTAGAACACCAACATGTGTTTCTTTATACAATTGGCAAGTCAATCAATTAATATTTTATCCAATAATTACTCATACTCTACTGGAGTTTAAACTATAAACTTGATACATGTTAATCTTGTTGGATATTTCATACTCTTCTGTAGTCTTTTATATAATCATGAAACATATGAACTTTACTAACAGTGATTTCTTCTAGAAATGTAATGATATTTACCACTTCTTGAAATTTGTCATTGTCAATAGTGACTCATTTCCTTTTCAAAGATACTTAATTATCTTTAGAACCTATTGATTTATCACGCTTCAGGCATGCTATAAGTTCATCAACAATTGATGTTGTACTCTTAGGACATCAATTTTAAATTAGAGCATTTACAACTAGTATATGATAAATGTCATTTGTTTATATCCATCTTCAGGATAGTATCATTTCAAAATATTTAATGAACATGTGGCAACTTCTATTAAATAAATCGTTGATATTTAAGTTATTGTTGTATCAAACTGACCATAAATATATTTTATTATTTATATGCAAGGGTTACATACAATCTCCCCCTAATCCTTGCAAATGGGGGTATGGAATGAATCAATCCAACAACCTTTAAAATCCTTGCAACTTTTAAGCCATAAATTCTTTTGGCAACGTCATGTATCAAGTAAAGTGTTCCTTTTAGCAAAAACATGCTTATATAAAATTATACTTATAGAACACTTATCATGTTCCTCATGCCCAATTACAAAACCTCTTATATTTATGGGCATAATAAAACATTGATTATGTATAGTTTCTCACAATGTCATGTTTAATTACTTGAACTCATAACACACTTTTTGCTATATATTTAATTAATTAAAGAACTTCAAGTCTATATGTACGAGAATATATACCAATCCATCTACATTTTTCAGAAAGAGAAGGTAAAAATAAGACATGACATAATCAGTTCGAGCTTTAATCAAAATATACCTTATTCGATCCACTCAACTATACTAGCCAAATTAAAATTAATCTTTGGAAACATAATTAAACATGACATGTGTTTATAGAATCACGTTAGTATGTAGTGGATATCTAAGCGAACTTTAAATCTATGTGTGTGAATACTCTTTATAAATATAAGGAACTTCAGGTCCGCAGATTATACTCAATTTACATTCATTCCAATAATCTAACTTCAAGTAGGTACATAATACTATAATTGAATGAGAAGGTAAAAATATGAAAACCTACTACTTCACGCTTTAATAAAAACATATCTGAATCAATTGAATCAACTATACTGTCAGATCAATTATATCAATATATTGCCTGATAAAGCTTAATTAGAAAATAGAAACAAGCACATAAGCAACCAAAATTAACACGTTCACATTAGTGGAAAACCACATGTTTCATATCATACTTGAAATATAAAAACATAATTCAATACATAAATTATAAATAGTTTCACATGTACCTTAGGCTTACTTCGTACAATTTACAAACATTCAAGGCATTAGACATAGGATTTCATAAACAAATTATATGGGTAAATAATTGCTAAATCAAACCATTCATATTTGGTATCAAGCATAGAGAAATAACCAAACTCATTTACGGATAGGAAAAGTAATACCAAATCTAGCAAATATATGTAATACAATTTCATGAAAACCATACGTTCATAAAATTAAGACCAATAATAACTCTAAATACCCTTTTAGATTCAAACTAAACAAAACTCATAGTCAAAACAAAACTACTAATTAGTTATACTGCATCAAATTCAACTATTCCCAAATTGCTCATTAAACTCCAGGAATGATAAAAATACGAAAATTTGAGAAACAATATAAACATATTATGTAAAGGCTTAAAATTAACCATAACAGGATAGTTGAGAATGAACTTTGCTGATATCAAAACCTATCGTCAACTTCATGTTATCAACGTCATCTGCTAGCCTGTAACTCATGAAAACGTCAATGAAAAGAAAATAAAGTATAGCCCTTGATTAAGGCTAATCTATTATATTATGGATAGATGAGAAAGATGATTCAAGATAAACAAACCAATGCAATCGAAAAATAATACGAGTAGTTCTTTGTAACCAAATTATTAATACCGTGAGACGCCTTGTACTAGTCCCAGATTAATTAATGAGGATTGAGAATGATATGACATTCTTGAAACGTGTGATTTCATTATTAGAAGATCAAAACCCATGATCAAGATTAATCTCCTTCTAATTTCTTCCTAAGATGCGACACAACAAGATAATAATGAGTATAATTTAGCACATTCAGTATATAGCGAATTAATCATTAACCTAAGAAATCAACAATAAAATTTACATATTGATTAGAGCTTTAGTGCTGATAACGTGTTGTAAAATAAAGAGAAATATAAGAGAGATTGATAGAGAATATATTTGTTCATATTATTCCATATGATAGGGGTATAAATATACATAGAATATTATAAGTAGGGTTTGCTTAGATAAGAATAAACCCTAGATCTAGAATATTCTGAAAACATACAAAGAGGATAATGGATATCCACACAATATTTAAAATAATTAAAAGTTTAAATTGTTTAAAGTAAATTGGACAAAGTTAAGATTATTAAAATGTATTTTTTCCTAATTACTTGAAACTTAAAAACATTTTTTTTGTGACTTCTTTTAATTCGGCCCATTATCGACTTGCCACATTGGCCCAATAAGATGTAACCCTTTTAAACTCAATCCATTTTCGACTCGCATCAGCCCTAACCCCTAATTCGACTTGCCCAACAATCAGATTTAGTTGTGATGTTTGCTATAGAGTACAACCCTTTACCATATACGTAGTAGAAATGTCCGTCAAATAAACAATACAAAATTTTCGTTTTTGGAAATAGTAATGGTTTAGGGAGGCAAATCAAGCAGCGGACTGGATAGCAAATATTGGTCATTTAGTTATTACTTATTAGTGATAGTATGGATATTATTCCTTGTAATTGTTCTTTATTTCCCATCCTTTTTTTAGACGCATTAGGAATTCCCCTCGTGAGGAGGGTTTCCTGATGTTTAATTTTTTTCTTACCATTAAAAAAAGCAAATTTTCAAAAAATAAAAAGAGCAACATTGACTATGGAGTAAACATTTTTAAAAATCGGATGTAAAATAAAATATTGTACTTCCGCTTCAAAATTACCTTAAAATGCTCAAAAGTTACCCTATAAATGAAGTATTTACAATAATATTACTGTACATCGGATTTATACAAAAGTTTTTGATGATTTTTTCTCGCGTAACCCAAATCCTTTAATTCATAAATTGGAGGATGATTTTTTATATTTGGCTAATTATTATTATTATTATTATTATTATTATTATTATTATTATTATTATTATTATTATTATTTTATTATTATTATTTTATATATGTAAAAAAAAAAAAGCATATATTTTCGTTTGAGGGAAAATAAGTTATTGCCTTGGAGCGAGGTTAACCTTGTTAATTTATTTAATTTTTTTTTAGAAGGAAAATAACGTATTGCCTTGGGGCGAGGTTTTCGTAGGTCTTATTTTTTAGGCAACTAATTTTTATTCCATCACCATTAATCCATTATAAATACAACCCAAATATCATACTCCTATAACACCAAGGTAACCTCCGCGAGATCAAGATCAAAGAAAATGCAAGTTTTTGTGAAAACTCTTACCGGCAAGACCATCACTCTCGAGGTCGAAAGTAGCGACACCATCACCAATGTTAAGGCCAAAATTCAAGACAAAGAAGGTTTTACATCTCTTCGTCTTCTACCCTTTTTCTTTCTTTATATTTCAATTCCTTCAATGTCATGCATCATGCATGCTTAGGGCTCGTTTTAATTGTACTATATGCTTTCTTCGTTTTTATTTACATGATTTAGTTCACTTGTCACGTTTGCTGATGTCTAACAAAATAGTTATGCCTTGTTTCATTATGTTAGTCTCAAATATTATTTTAGGGGTTTCAAAAACATTACTCATATTGAATATATTCTATTTTTAACTTAGTTTTTTACTTTAAGTAAAGAAATTCCTCCTTGAATTATGCTTTTTAAAAAAATAAAAAAATTTAAATAAGGCAAATTAATTATAAACTATTTTTGTATTTTAATGTTAGATTCAAAATATATTTTTATTTTATTTTATTTTTTATTTTATGTGGCTGATTCACATAGTACTATCAATCTATCATCATATAGAAATAGAGCGAGTATAATAAATGTTAAATAATTAGAATGACAAGATGTGTTATATGTAGATGCACATAATTGTATATGAATCTACCAAATAACTAACGTGCTATAATTTTGGTTGATTTTGAAGGTATACCACCGGACCAGCAGCGACTAATTTTCGCCAGAAAGCAACTAGAGGATGACCGTACTCTTGATGATTACAACATCCAGAAAGGTATATTAGTATGGTTGTTCACTACTTGTTCATAATACCCTTAATTTTAAGTGGTTGATTAATGTAGTATGGTTGCATTGTGTGTTAGTATATAATTTGATTAGTGCATAATTTTACAAATTAATAGATGAATGATCTATTTTCTTTTAATTAACTTTAATTTGTGTCTATACACTATGTTAAAGATTATTTTGATGTGTTTAATTTAATGGTTTATTTCTCTCTTATCCTTACTTTTATTTGTTGTTATTGATTGGCTGATTGGTTTTTTTTTTTTTTTTTTTTTTTTTTTTTTTTTTTTTTTGTATGTTTGGATAATTTGGTGCAACTGTAGAATCAACTCTTCACCTTGTGTTGAGGCTTAGAGGAGGAGGATCTGGAAAAAGTTATCCACCATCTTTGATGGCTTTGGCTCGTAAATCTAACCAGGATAAGTTGATTTGTCGCAAGTAAGATTTTTGCCATTGCTAACCCCTACTTCACTCCGGTTTTCTTTTTTTCCAACTCATTTTGACATACTTGCCAATGCAAAACTTTTGAAACGTTGGTGACAGGTGCTATGCTCGCTTGCCTTTGAGGTCTACTAATTGCCGCAAGAAGAAATGTGGACATTCTAATGAGGTATTGCTTGCTATCTACCATCCTTTAAAATTTTCATCCAATAATTAAACTAGACCCTTTTCCATAATTATGAACATATTTTCTTATAATCTCATACTAAGATAATTGATAATTGTGCTTGATTGATTCTTTTCAACAGCTAAGGCGCAAGGCTATGATTTTCACTAATGGTAACAAGGGATAGAGGCCACATTTAATTGGTTGAGATTTGCACAAATTTTAGCATTATCTAATAAAAGTTGTTTTTGAACAATTGTCTTATGTCTATGATTTTGATGATTTCATTAGTATTAAACCTAGAATTTTATTACCTTTATAAAAGACTTGTTGTCAAGCCTTCACTCTTAGAAGTGAATATTACTTGTTGGCTTGCTTATTGCAGATTATATTTCCAATTTGAAGACATTTTGTGGTTATCTATGTTATTTTCTTCGTATTTTATTGTGCAAGGGAAAAAAATAGTTGGTTATCAATAATAATAGTAAATTTCTTTTATTCTTAAAACCATTCTCAATTTGGTAAAGTTGGCATTGGTTACAAAATGCTAGATTAAACTAAAATTTTCGCAAAAAATCATTATTAATATCACCTTTGATAAATTTTACAAGTTGAAGGCTACCAATGACAATTAGAAGATATTTTTGGCTACCATTGATTAATGTTAATAACACAAAGCTTTGAATGAAAATTTTCCAAAAACATAAATTTATGATTTGTTCTTTTCACCTAAAATTAGGTGTTTTAGCCTTCATTTGACTATGTTTGGATTGGTAAATCGGTTTGATTATTAAGTTTACGGGATTGATTGACCTTACTCGATCTTACACTAATGTATAAATAAATAAATAAAACATAGTCAAATGAAAATCATATATATTAAATTCACATCATGTGTACTGTGTTGACACTATTTATAAAAAGTTGTTGTGTAATATGTTGTCAATTAGTCTTAATGTTTATTTTCAAATCTTATAATTTCATAATATTTAGGAAATTTTGTAAATTACCATCTAAAAAAAGTATCAATTTCTAAATAACCACCCGTTAAAAATTTTATTTTAAATTACCACCCACTAAATTAATTTGTTACGCAAATTACCACCTTTTTTAAAATTCCGGTGGAATTCAGATGTGTGGGGCCCACAGTCGTTACTTCCCTCCTAATTTTTTTTCTTTTTTGTCGATTTCACTATTGTAAGCTATTGAAGACTACTCCTCTCTCAACTCTCTCATTCAATTCTCTCTGCAAATCCACCTATCTCCATAATTTCACTCTTCAAATTAGGATCCTAAATTGATGATTAAAACCCTAAATTAGTTTTAGTTCACAAATAAAGGTACTCTTGTCTAATTGGAGTTTTGCTTGAAGCTTGATTGCGAATTGAAAGTAATTGCAATCACAATTTTTCCAGCATTAGCAGCAATTCAATTATTCAATGACAGAATACCAAAATTGAGTATTGTACATGAACCCTAATTAACTAAACACTCAATTTCCCCCAATTAAATTACAATAAGAACCTTACTTTGTGAAGAAAATCAACTCTGATCAACTAATCAACCAGTTTTCCCCAATTTAAGTACAATAAGAGCCCTAAATTTAAAGAATGAAAGACTTTACCTGATGCGAATTCACCTATGAAGTTTCTTGAGGACGCTTCCGCAATTACAAGATGATATGCTTGGGGTGAATTTTGAGGAATTTGGGGAGAATTTGCAGTATAAACCGCAAATTAGGGTAGGAGATATTGTTTAGGGTAATTTTACCCCGTCACGTGGTCCAACCAGAGGATGACACGTGTCAGCTTCAGGTTGGTCCAAAGTGGACCAATCTATGTCTGACACGTGTCACTCCAGAAATTAAGGGGAAAAAAGGCGGCCTTCAGGCCCAAATCCCGAGAAAGCCGCAAAGCGGCGCAGCCCACCAGTGATTAGGGTTCAGTGACCTAATCAGGGGCACAAATCCCAAAGACCCTATAAATAGGGAGATGTCCCCCTTTTTGAGGACACGTTTTACCATTTATTACACCAGTATTCTCTTACATCAGAGAAAGACCTGAGCTTGGAATCCTAGCAGATACCCACCTGAATTTTCGCACTTACTCTCTCTCTTCAAGTTTCTAACTTGTGCGTCGGAGGCGGAGCACCACCCAACCGGTGTCTCCGTTTGTTTTGCAGGTACAGCTCACACCGGATCAGTCTTCGTGTTGTAACTCTCCCAAGGGACAAAAACACTCAAAACAGATATGTTATATAGGAAAAAATCGGGGGGAATTCATTTGGGAAGCAAGAACTAACCGTTAGGAGGGCCCCATACATATGAATTCCACTAGAATTTTAAAAAAGATGGTAATCTGCGCAAAAAATTAATTTAGTGGGTGGTAATTTATAATAAAATTTTTAACGGGTGGTTATTTAGAAATTGATACTTTTTTGGGTGGTAATTTACAAAATAAACGCGGCCGGTTGGGAGAAGCTGAGATGGTAGAAGCTGAGGCGGTTAAAAACATCAAAACCTCAGAAGTGATTTCCTTCATCTGGAAAAACATTATCACCCGGTATGGGGTACCCATGTCTATGGTGTTTAATAATGGTCCTCAGTTTGAGACGCCTCAGCTAAAAACATGGTTGGGAGATCAGGGGATCTCAAGCTATTTTGCATCTGTTGGCCGGCCCCAAGCAAACGGCCAAGTTGAAGCCTTCAATAAACTCATCTCAGACGACATTAAGAAGAAAATAGAAAGAGTCGGTGGCTTATGGGCAGAAGAGTTAATCCATGTCCTATGGGCCATCCGGACAACAGCGAAGGGGGCAACCGGTGAAACCCCATTTCTCATGGTTTATGGTGCTGAAGTCGTCTTGCCCATTGAACATTACGAGCCGACTCTCAGAGTCATGCTGTATGATGAAGAGGCAAACTGGGAAGCGATGCGCCTGGCATAAGATTCACTCCCGGAACGCAGGGGCAATGCCGCCTTGCGTCATGAGATTTACCGTCTGAGAATGACTAGAGCCTACAACAAAAAAGTACACAAGCGTCCCTTGAAAGTTGACGACTTAGTGTTACGAAAAATGGAGGCAACCGGTAGGGCCAATGAGCTGGGGAAGCTAACTCCAAATTGGGAAGGCCCCTACCGGATCTATGAAGAAGTAAGGGACGGCACCTACCGCCTGGAAACTCCAGACGGCAGGCGCCTGCCTAGAACTTGGAATGTAGACAATCTGAAAAAGTACTACTTCTGAGAATGTAAATTTTTTGTAAACAGTGAGTCAATTAATGAAGATTCAAACTTTGTTTGCAAAATTGATTTGTTGTTTTTTTATTATCCATCTGGGTAATACCCAGACGGATTCTTCATTTACCTAACTAAGTTCGATACTTAGTAAAGGTTACATTTGTTTGACCGTCTGGGTAATACTCAGATGGATCCATTGTTTATTTAAGTTTGATATTTAGTATGATTTAATAATTGCCTGTTCGTCTGGGTAATACCCAGACAGGCTCGTTTGTTTAAACAACTAAGTTCGACACTTGGTGTAAATTCAATGTTGCCTGTTCGTCTGGGTAATACCCAGACAGGCTCGTTTGTTTAAACAACTAAGTTCGATACTTGGTGTAAATTCAATGTTGTAATAACTATCAGCCAATGCTCCGATTAAAAACTAAGCACAAAAACGCTTAGTGGCTATACAACCGGTCCTAAACAAGACCAAAGGCTGAAATGGCCGGATGGTTGCTCATTTTATAAAATCGCCTGTCCCAGCATGGACAAAGGCGTCCGGCGACACCCCTCCGGGTGCAATCGTCGCAGAGAACAGACTATTTGTCGGTTCTACGTACCCATGCAGACGGCAAAAATTGAACGACCGAATTGGTCAACTCATAGCCGTCTGACCAGAATGATCTGTGATGAACGATCAAGTTACCAAATACCGGATGCCCTGGGGCATCAATCGGTTTCCGGCGAAGTTCTCACTTAGGTTATTTATTCCAAAATTGCACTCTCTATCCCAATTAGGGCAAAAGAGTTGTTCAATGGCTATGAAATCTCTACCAAGACGAACAAAACGTCGTTTGGGTAGTGACTGGAGCGCCTGTTGGTGAACGGCTGTGCACTTGGTTTGGGGCAATCACTATTGAGATTGATTGACTTACAAAACGTATCATGCTCTTTGCAGCATCAGACATTTCCAAGTCAATCAACCAACTCCACTTGAAACCAATCACACAGCCGTCCAGAGGCAAGGACAGCCAGACTATTGATTAGTTAGGCAAAAACTCGCCGCATGCTTTTGATAAGTTAGGCAAAAAATCGCCGCATACTTTTGATAAGTTAGGCAAAAATGAAAAATTAAAATTTGCAAGAATTAAAATTCAGACGCAAAATGATCAAAACCGACTCAGTCGGTGCGTTTCATAAAAGTCCACTCAACCAAACGGTTGTAGTGGATTAAATGTTAATCGGACCTCGTCCGAGAGAAAGAGAAATTGTCAATTAACCCGGCTCCTTAGCCGGTAAATACAAATATACTCAGCACGCAGGCCGGAAAAACAAGTTTTGGCATACTGCCGCTGAATAAATAAAAGAAAAGATAAAAAACAGAGATTAGCATACTGCCGCTGAAAGGTCACTTCTTGCCTGCAGACGGTGCCTCCTGGTCCTCATCATCGGAGGGTATATCTTGTGCTTCACCCGGACCAGGTAGCTGAGGCGCGGAAGGCTCGTTATTGGAGTTGACACAGGCTTCAAAAGAGTCAGGCTCTGGCTCGCCTCTATCCCTTAAGTACACCACGTACTCGGCATAGCTGTGAGCCAGTGCCCAGACGCCGTAATCCGCGTTTGGGTACAGGGCAGCCCAGGCGATCTTCATACGGGTGTCATTGTCAGCATCACTCTCAGCAACAAGGCGGTTCTGCTCCGCCTCCAGGGTTACTGCAAAGTTCTTCTGAGCCTGAGCAGCCTCCTACTCTAGCTTCTCAACCTTTGTCTTCAGTTTGGTGTTCTCTTCAGAAACACCCTGAAGTGTGCCATGGTCCGTCTGGGCCTTCTTGAGCGCCTCATCAGCCTTTTTGGCGCCCTCATCCGCCTTCTTCCGGGCCTCCTCTGCCTTCTTCTGGGCTGTCTCAGCATCACTCGCCTGCTGTTTGGCCGTCTCCAGATCCGCCTCCAGCTGCTGGATTCTAGACGCCTGTGTCATTATGATTGCTTTAGTTTCAAGTTCATTTACGATAGTTGAGTGTAAAGCAATATTATCAGCGTCTATGGCGGACTTCTTGGCCCTTTTTACCTCTTCCCGTTTGCGGGAATAAGGACGTTTGAGCCCGTCCACTCGCAACATAGCCTGCGAAAAAGCAAGCGGTATGAGTATTGCAGGCGGAATAAAACACTTGGAAAAAATAAATTGACAAGTTTCTTACCTCAGCCAGAAGGGATTGAATGCGTTCCAGATTAAACGTCTCTATCCCAGGGATGTTGTCTTTATCCCTCTTCCGGACGGCGTCAAGCATGGCCTTGGCATGCTTCTGGGCGTCTGGCCAGCGGGGATATTGATCTGCACCACAATCAATACGTGATGAGTGCGAAACTAAGGCAACACCTATTTGTTGCCGACCGTCTGAAGATGACGTCTGTTGAGAGTGGGATTTCACCCGCAAAGGCCACCCCAGATCAAGCGGGGATTCAAAAGGGTTCTTACCTTCAGAGCCAGCCAAGCGAGAACCGCTTGCTGGTGCGGTGAACCTCCCGGTCGTTGTTACGGGGTTAACGAGGTCGAGACCCAGGCTGTCGCCTACCCTCTCAATCCGCCCCTCTATCCGTAATTGTTGATTCCCGGCTGAGGCGCCAGGAGTTGAGGCGGAGGTGGATTTCTTCGATTTGTTGAGAACGGAGGGGGTCTCCTCCCTAGCCCGTTTGAGTTGCTTCTCAAGCGTCTTTCCAACCTCTCCCCCCTGCAAAAATAACCAAGTTAAGTCAGCATCCGGGAAAAATAGTCTTTAAGACCAAATTAAGAAAGGGACATGCGTTTATTACCTTGGCCTTGACCTCAGCCGCAGCTTTTTCCGCAAGTTGTTTGCGGATGAGTACAGAGGATCGCTGGGGAGTCTTCTCTGTTGGCAGCATGTTTAAAGCTTCTTCTGCAAAAAAAAAGAAAGAGACTGATTAGTATCATAAATCAAATCTGGTACCAAAGCACTACAGACGGATATAAACTCAGGCGGCACTCTTATTCTATACCCGTCTCCTAACGGGTGCATTTGTGTGAAGTTGTTTAAATTCTCCCCCTTTTGGAGCCGGTCTTTAGCAGAGACGTGGATGTTGAAGGGGTCGTCCTTCTCTTTCCATTTCTTCCTCTCCTCCTCCTCGCTATCCTCAAGCGGGGGCAGGTCATCGCTGCTTTCAGAGGTGGAGGCGGAGCTGTCGCTCTCCGTTTCCTCCTCATCCTGGGCCAAAGGAGCTGAGATGGCCTCATCGCCGCCTTGGTCGCATTCTTCCAAGAAGGAATCTGCGGGAGTCGAAGGGGCGCGCGGAGGGGATCTCTCCAGAGCCGTCTGGTCTCTCTGACCAGACGTTTCTCTCTCAGGCGTTTGGTCGTCTGAGCCCTCGCTTCTATAGTCTGGATATGTGGCCGTCTGCATAGTCCGAGCCATTGTGTCCTGCACAGACACATAAATGGTCGGAATCCAAGGCAAAGGGTGGTCCCAACTCCCCGAGACGGCACTCCCAGTCCTAGACTCAGCCGTCCCTGGTGACCGGCTGGACTCTAACCTAGGTTGTGTCGTGTGTGTTGGTGATGCATCCATTTATTGCAAAGAAATATGTACAACCGGTGAAACAAGAAAAAGAGCTGGGAGAGGCAGAGACGGTACCTTTGGATGTGATATCTGAAGATAGGCGGGTCCGGCTGAGTTGATGGAGAACGAACTTTCTTGATTGCGCCTGACTCAAACGGATGACTTCTGCTCTCTCAAAGTTTTCTCTCTAGAAAATTTTTGTAAACGTACACAATTATGAGGGTAAAACGGCTATATATAGAGGGTAAATATGGCGGCATTTCCGTAATTTACTCGGAAGGTGAACGGTTACTTCTTTATGGTAAAATTACCACCAATCGGAGCGTGACACATGTCACAGATGCCACGTGGCGTGCCACGTCACATCTGTGATGGGCAAATGTTTAGGGTAATTTTACCCCGCCACGTGGTCTAACCAGAGGATGACACGTGTCAGCTTCAGGTTGGTCCAACGTGGACCAATCTATGCCTGACACGTGTCACTCTAGAAATTAAGGGAAAAAAGGCGGCCTTCAGGCCCAAATCCCGAGAAAGCCGCAAAGCGGCGCAACCCACCAGTGATTAGGGTTCAGTGACCTAATCAGGGGCACAAATCCCAAAGACCCTATAAATAGGGAGATGTCCCCCTTTTTGAGGACACGTTTTACCATTTATTACACCAGTATTCTCTTACATCAGAGAAAGACCTGAGCTTGGAATCCGAGCAGATACCCACCTAAATTTCCGCACTTATTCTCTCTCTTCAAGTTTCTAACTTGTGCGTTGGAGGCGGAGCACCACCCAACCGGTGTCTCCGTTTGTTTTGCAGGTACAGCTCACATCGGATCAGTCTTCGTGTTGTAACTCTCCAAAGGACAAAAACACCCAAAACAGATATGTTATATAGGAAAAAATCGGGGGGAATTCATTTGGGAAGCAAGAACTAACCGTTAGGAGGGCCCCATACATATGAATTCCACTAGAATTTTAAAAAAGATGGTAATCTGCGCAAAAAATTAATTTAGTGGGTGGTAATTTATAATAAAATTTTTAACGGGTGGTTATTTAGAAATTGATACTTTTTTTGGGTGGTAATTTACAAAATTTCCTAATATTTATTAATACATAATTATAGATATTTAAGGTTAACTTACATTGTGCATTGGCAAGCATGTCGGTCAAACAATTGTGAGACTTCTAGAATGGACGAAATATGTACTTTTCATTGTTTTACTCATACATAATTAAAGATATATAATTAACAATAAGTAAGCAAGATTTAAAAATAATAATAGGATAATCTACTCTAATAATCTAAATATTTTTGTTATTGTTGGATTATTTGGTTTAATTTGATTTTGACAAGAATCATATAACTAATATATAAAGCTAAACTTTTAGCCAGGTAACGAGGCAGTGACACTTGCGTTACAACTTTTCGCCAAGTGTCGCACCACGTTGGATGGATTTAAATAGACTTTAAAAGATATTTAAAAAAAAGTTAGTTTAGAATTCTATTTGGATATAATTTTAGGATAAAATTGTTAGTATAGAGTTTTATTTTCGATAAAATATCAATATTTCAGATATACAAATTGAATTATAATTTAATTCAAAAAAAATTTAAATTATAATTATAAAAAATTATCATAAAAATTTATTTTTTATATCATAATATATTTTTTTGATCGAACGAAGTAGTTTAAAGCGTAAATCATCCATTTATAATATATACTAATCGGTTTAAATAATATACTAATTGGCAGGTATATAGAGTTTTATTACTCTATAGACCTGCCAATTAGGATCGGGTCATGAGTCATCTCGGATTGAGTCACTTTGGGTTATGAGTCAAGAAATGTTCAACCCTTGCCTTAAGTTTTGGGTTCGGGTCAACCCAACGGGCTTTGAACATTTAGTTTATTTAATTTATTTTTGCTAATTTTTTAATTTTTTTTAATGTATTAAATTAAATCGAACATTTCCACTAACATTATTATTAGTCACAAAAACACATCAATTCCTAATTAATTTTGTATCAATGATATATTTTAAAATTTGACAAATAGATTAATAATTTATCTTAAAATTCAATAAGCAACCCGGGCATCGCACGGGCACAAAACTAGTAAGTGATATAAAGTAAATTTATAAAATAAAATTAAGAGGGAAGCTCTAACCATCTAAGCTATTCCTAACTCTCAACACTTCATAAAGTCGTAAATATACGAGATTGAACCCCTTTCGTGTTTTGTCCCAGAATAACTGGCACACTTAAATTTTATTTATCAACTTTGTCCATCTTTTATTGCTACTATAAAATAAGATTTTGATAAAAATTTGATGTTCCAATAATATACATTGAGATAAATCCAACAAAGGACTACTCTATTAAAAATGCATATAAAGAGGTTTGAACTACTAACCTCATGGAATAAACACCACATGCCTTACCATCTCAACTACCAATAATTTATGTTCTATTCTTCCACATAAACGTATTTAAATGAACAATACAAAATTGCATCCAAACTCAAAAACAAAGAGACACATATTTTTTATATTCTCTTCAATATTCAATATTACATTCCAAATTATGAATACTTCAAACACTTTATAAAAAAAATAAAAAATAAAATAAATAAATAAATACTCAAAGTAACATCCTGAGGCAACGCCCGAGTGACACACTAATTTAAATATTATATCTATCTCATCTTATGGTCTCCTACTAAACCCACTTCTAGTTTTTTTTATTATTTTTTTCCTCACACATTCATTAGTTTTCATTTAATTATTAACTTCATTATCTTTCTTTTATAATTTTTTAAATTTTTTGATACTTAAACTACCCTAACTATCTTATATTTTATTAATCATTTAAATTACCTTAAAATATGTGCTGGTCTAAGTGTAACACTTATAAAAACACAGGGGAGTATCCAAATTTGCGATAGATTGAGTTAGGGCCTATTCACTCAGCTTAATTTTAGTCCAGTCCAGTTCGGTTCAGTTTAGTCCAGCTCCAATCAGTTCATTTCAATTCAGCTCCTAATTTCCTTCTCTTATAAAATATTCATTTCATCTCTATTCAGTTCATTTCAACTCCAAATTAGTTCAATTCACCTCAGTTTAGCTCAGTTCAGTAAATGTGAAAAGACCCTTATTGGGTTAGGCAGATACAGAGTAAGTGTTTGACACCTTCACAAAGCACATCTATGTTATTAACTTGTTCATTACTGAACAAAACTGAACTGAACTATTGAAGCTGAATTGAAGTGAAATTAAAGTGAAGTGACCAGACCCTAACTTGTTACTTATTTTCTCTTATTTTGATTGACCATTGATAATTGACAGTATATTGCTCAAGGAACTCCAGCTTGATTTTTCTCATATTGCCTAACTAGTTAAAGTCCCGTGCAATGCACGGATTTTAATAACTTATATAGCGGATTACAACATTAATTTAACAATTATATGCTAAAAAAAAAAAGAATTACTATAAAATATATACATTCAAAAATATTTCGATTGAGTGCGTATGCCAAAAATATAATTGCTAAAATAGAAAGTAAATATTATAGGCTATAAATATTTTTCATAAGGAAAGATAAAGAGTGGAGGGAAAATTTTTAACCAGTGAATGACATGTGTCATCACTGATTTCGCTTTTAATATTAAGTTATTGATTTTGATTGACCATTGATAATTGACATTATATTGCTAAAGGAACTCTTGATTTTTCTCATATTGCCTAACTAGTTAAAGTCCCGTACAATGCACGGATTTTAATAACTTATATAGCGAATTACAACATTAATTTAACAATTATATGCTAAAAAAAAAAAATTACTATAAAATATATACATTCAAAAATATTTCGATTGAATGCGTATGACAAAAATATAATTGCTAAAATGGAAAGTAAATATTATAGGCTATAAATATTTTTTATAAGGAAAGATAAAGACCGGAGGAAAATTTTTTAATTAAGTTATTGATTATTGATGATTTGCCTTTGTCCCTTGTTATCAATTTTCTCCTTAGAGCTCTTTCACGCTGCACCCCTCTTTCTCTCTCCTCCCTTGAAGCGTACTCTGACTTCTCCATTGAAGCGGCTTCCGAGCTTTCTATCCTCCATTGAAGCATTTTCCGAGGTAAATTATTTCTCCATTTTATTTGGGTTATAGTGTATCAAATATATACTCTACTCTGGGGTTTAATTCACACTGTTGTTATTAATTTCATTATCAGCGGTCAATTTAGGGTTCTTCTAAGGTGGATTATTGAACTATTAATTATAATCACCTAAGTTATGAAAGATTATTGATCGATTTTGTTGCTAGAATTTTGCTGTGCGCTGTTATTAATTTAAGTTGATATTCTTAAGTAAGATGAATTTTATGTGATTTTTCGAGCCTAATTTGATGATTGAGTAAAATTTGTTTGCTAATGTTTTGCATTTTTGATTATTGGCTGACACTGGCAATTATCTACAGCATTTCGAAAATTCCATACTCTTAGTATGTGATTTTTCGAGCTTAATTTGATGATTGAGATATGGTTGCTAATGAATTGCATTTTTGGAGCCTGTTGGCTCGGGCAATTATCTACAAAATTTGAAATTACATATTCGTATACTCCGTATTATACTTCATATAAGGCAATAGGTACATTCATATATTTGGTCAAAGCTATAACTACATTGAAGCACAAAAATGGTGATTGCTTTATTGTTTTTTTAGCTTTAAGAGAACTTGAACATTACAAAGAAATAAAATCGTGGACATGTGGTATGTTGTAGAAGGAAGATTTGGAGGATGGAAGTTTAGGATAGGAGAAAATACAAGTATTCAATATATAATCATAAGAACCAAAACGAAGACCTTTGACTAAATTCATAAGGACATAGCAGTGCAGCTTTTTAGGTAACTTTGTCATCAACATCTGTGAAGTTTCGAATGTATTTCATAACCCATATACTGGAGATGCTTGCGAAAGTGTACCAAGTCATCAGAGAACATAAGATCAGCACTAATCAAGTGATAAACTAAAAACACACCTAACTTGTACAAAAGCCAAGGAAAAAAAGATAATTAATTTATTACAGTGTGTTAGGATAGAAAATTAAAAAAAGAAAGGGAGTGAAGAGGAATAGAGAGAAGGGGAGGGGAAGGAGGACAACATTTAATTCCATTGTTTGGATGATGTTGAATAGGAGGGAACGGGAGGGAAATTTGAAGCAGGGGAAAGGAGAGAGAAAGTAAAAAGGGGTGAAAATTGGGCAAAGAAGTAGGGGGGAAAGGAGGTTAGAATAGAAACAAGGGAAAGAGACTAGCAAGTACATTTTCTTTCCAAATCTCTCCAATCTTGGAGAGATTAATTTCTTAAATATTGATGGACACAATTTCCTTCCATTTCCCTCTTCTCCTTTTCCCTCACCTTCTATGTTACATGGACTCTTCATTTCACCTCAAGTACCCATGTTTGACACTTGAACACGTCATTTTTAGTTCAAAATCATGGATTTTTTTCACAAAATAATTGAGTCGGATGCTTGGACATGTACCCTTGTCGGACATGGGTAATTGAGTCCATGTAACATAGCTCACCTTCTTAATGTACTATCCAAACAATGGAATCCCTCTCTCTCTCTCTTTTCTCCTCTAATCCTTAAATTTTCAAACACACGGTCAGTAGTCACCCTGCCATCTTTAGACATGTATTTAGATTTACCACTTACAACCACTAACATGATAAGTTAAACCCTTAAATTCACTGGATGATTGTATAAGTTCGTTGTGTACAAGTGTTTGGTATATAATTGTTAACTAATAGCTACATTGTGTAAAATGACCAATAAGGATCTATGCATAATTTATCAGCTTAAGCAAACGTGGTAGAGGGTCGGAGTAGAGGGTAATACATTTGATAAACTTTGGGATAGGAGAGTTGTTTCTTCTCAAGTCCTCAACTACCACAAACCTCTCTCCCCAAAAAGCTCATTTACTAGCATTTTCAAAATTAGCCTTTTGGACTCAAAACTAATATCTCTCTACCAAACACTCACCTCAAAACTATGATTCAAAAAAGTGAATTGTTATGTGCTAGACTGCTAGTAGTACCCTTGTTGGGGTAATTTACAAATAGGTCATGACACTCATTCTGTTACCTAAATTCGCTCCACGAATATGGTAATACTAAGTAAGCTTATAATGCCAAGGTGGGTTCTAGATAATTATGGTGAATCAGTTAAAATCAGATTTACTATGATGCTAACTTATTGTTTTTAAGTATAAACTACTTGCTTATATATTGTGATGGAGTCATGTTATACTATGAATTTGCTTTACCGATTTAAGAACTAGAATAATATTTAAACTATTTTTCCAATTTATTAGCATCAAGCCAATTAAGGAAGTATTAATTAGGTGTGGGTTTAAAGATTGGAACCATGGTCTAGTGTAATGATTATAGAATCCTAATGAAACCTTGAGTTAGTATCCATGTCATGTGATCTTAGTTGCATCCTCTAAAGAGTATATCACGTCAAAGAGGGTTATGAATTCCATACCTTTATGATTATAAGTGTTGACTTAATGCATAATTTACATACATTATTCTTAGTAAATTGTTTAAACTGGATGATTCTTAGCAAGACTTACGTATGATTTTAATCCGAATGGTTATACGCCCTTGAAAAACCAATATACCTTAGTATCAGAGAATTTTCTTATATTCAAACTTCAACTTAATTCCACGCTTCAACTCTAATAGTTGAACTTATATAGTAGAGGTGAAATCAGTTTCTGAAGATGTGGGTTTTCTTTGCAGTATTGCTGATTCCTCGGAATAAGTGTTATGTATTCTCTTTTAATTTTATTTTCAGTGACTGCTTATCTTTATGCAGTTGAAGTTTATTGCTGAATTTACTAATATGCTATAGTTGATTATGCATCTTGATGATAGCACTCTGTACATCCTGCATAAATCTTATTTTTTCTTATTTAACTCCTCTCCTTTTTACTTTACATAGATGTCGCTAAGAAAAGCTCCACTTCCTCGCATACTTATCAACAATGCATCCTGCATGCGAAATGCCCAACAAATTTTGCGCCATGTTAATGCCTCTGTTCATGATGGCGGTGGACTTGTGCTGACAGGTAGCAATGGTTCAGGCAAAAGCACTTTCCTCCGCATGTTAGCTGGCTTCTCCAAGCCTTCTGCTGGAGAGATCCTTTGGAATGGGCATGACATTACGCAGTCAGGAGTATTTCATCAATATAAGCTCCAGCTTGGATGGGTTTCTCTAAAAGATGCTGTCAAGGAAAAATTTACAGTCCTGGAAAATATTCAGTGGTTCGAACTTCTTGAAGGAAAAGAAGGAAGATCTCTTCCGGCCTTGGAGCTTATGGGTTTGGGAAGGTTGGCAAAGGAAAAGGCAAGGATGCTGTCAATGGGTCAGCGAAAAAGACTTCAACTTGCTAGGCTGCTGGCAATTGATAGGCCTATTTGGTTGCTGGACGAGCCATCTGTTGCTTTGGATGATGATGGTGTAAAATTATTGGAGTATATAATTGCTGAGCATCGAAAGAAGGGAGGAATTGTGTTTGTGGCAACTCATCTGCCTATCAAGATTGATGATGCAATGTACTTGAGGTTGCCACCTAGATTTCCTAGACGGATGACTTTGATCGATATGCTTGATCGCAGTGACATTGCTTGATTTTGTGAGGCTAGTGGTTAAGTTCTTTGAATTAAATTTAAACCAAGACTGAGGCATGTTAATTAGCTTTTCATCAGTAAACTCAGCTAACAGCATATGGCACTCGACTTCTTCCCCATGCTAGATCTTTGCAAGGTTTGACTCCATCAGCAGCAACATGACAATTGGCTTTCGTGAGGATTTATTTCTTTGATGAGTCAGATTCCCTTTTGGTTCTCTGGGCCTTTCACGGTCTTATACTGGAGTTTCTCTAGTTCATTGGGTCTGCATTCTACAATCAGCTCGCTACCCTTTCGTTGCACTCCAAAGTTATGAATGCTGCCTTTGTGATTGTGAATTATGTTGGCATTTTTGTTCCGTGGTGATGTATTATAGATTCAGCATATTGGGAACTGAAAGAGCATTACGAATGTTGCGAGCTCTAGCCTCTCTCTTATGGAGTGGAGTTTGTGGTAGATTATAAAACACACATTGGAATTACATTATGCTCCATGAAGTTACAGTTCCAAGTAACTGCATTAGTTTGATTTTTTTGCTGTCTATGAATTTTATCTTGGACATTAAATCCTTAATCTGCCTGCAAATCCGTATTATTTGTGTACAAAGTTCGAGATTAATACTCATATTAATTAATGGCTTGTTTGTTAACAATTTATAGCTTTGGTTTCTGTTTTTCTAAGCAATCCCTCAAAACTGTATAAATAAATAAATAAATAAATAAATTATTATCTCTCCAAAATCTTCAACCACTTAACTTAATGATACCTAATTAAAAAGACAATGGAAAAAAAAATCTCAACCTACAACAAAATTAAATACCCACCATTGCCAAAATATTTCGAGGTGCTAATTTTATGACTAATATAAATGGCTAGGAATTATCATCTAAATCATAGAGTTTACTACCAATTTTATTATGCCTATGAAAATAATTATACCTTCAATCTGCTTTATACTACTAAAAAAAATAAAATAAATAAATAAATATTGTACTACTAAAAGTGAAATTAGGAGAAAACTTTGGCTACGTATTACGGAGTACGAAGTATTATATATATTTCTTTCCAAAATAACTTTATTAAAAAAGATTCATTGTTATATAAAATTAAGGTTGTATCCAAATTATTACTTTTACTTTATATAAAATCGAAGTATACTTCCTAATAGTACAACCCGAACCTAAGAGAAAAGGAAGGTAGGTATTGGGATCATGTTCATGAAAATGCTGCGTTGCAGCATTGGTGTCACGTACTCCATAATAGTACAACCCAATCCCCACAGGCATCCCAAACAGTGGCGTATCCAGGATTTTAACTTAGTGGGTTCAGATTTATTTTTTTAACTAGAGTAACTAACACGTGCGATGTACGCACCATAGCTAGCTAGGTTCGGGGAGCTCTTTCAGTTGGGTCATGTGTCACAACTTTAATCGTTCAGATTTAATAGTAAGGGAAGATGTGAAAATAAATATTTTTACGGCTATAGATGCTCGCATTCTTAAAAGTTTAAAAAATACGATTCGTCTTGTGTGTGGCTTGCTACACCCTGTGAACGCTTGTTAATGAACAAACTAAACCCTATAACAGATAATACTGACAAATTAGAAGTTATAATTACCCAAACACTAGATCATTTCGTCAAATTTAAAAATTCAGTCTAAATTGTGAATAAACTAATATATATCTTAAAGGCGTAAATACATTTAAGAAGATAATTTTATTAATTCCAATGATATTTCTAGGAAAAAAAAAAATCATTGTATCACAAAATTAACTTTTGAGATATATGAATGAACCTCTTATATTATTTCTAATTTTAGCTTTGAAAAAGGATAGAGTACAGGATAATAAAAAAATCGAAAAAGATAAATTCTAAAAACTATTCCAACAAAAAGTAAAAAAAAAAAAAAAAACAAAAATGACACTAGCAAGAGTCGAACGCGGACCACACGGAATTGGAAGGCTTATGTTTAACACGCTGACCACCAGACCACCACAATCTTAGAGTAACTAGTTGTTGGCCCCAATTTGGTGATTTCGCCTTGGTGATTAGTGTCATAGTGTGTAATTAGTCGTTGTTTATGTGATAATGTAATTGGTTGCATTTTGATTGTTGATTTTCATTTGCTTTGATTGGTTAGTGTATAATGATCACTTTAGCTATAGTTAATAAATAAGTGCACAAAACTAATGGTTCAACTAAAATTGGAGCAGTTTATAACGTAATGTCAAAGAATTGTGTTTAAATTATACGAACTTTGCATAACATGTAGCACTTCAGAGTGTATTGAACCAAATTAAGTAATGATGGGAAATAATACATATAACTTTATTATAAGTAAACAAATAAGTAATGTTACGGAGGGAAAAGATGAGAGCATGCGGTCCCCTTATATGGTGATCTACTCGGTACGCGCGCGGTCCCTCAATTTGGTGATCTATACTCGGTGATTAATGTGTAATTAGTCGTTGATGTATGTGTAGATTATTTTAATTTTTTTTTGGTAACAGAGTCAGGTAATTTGATTCGTCTTTAGTAAAACTCCCTATTTACTATAACATCTCTTCATTCTCTTTAATTTTGTCATTTGAGAAGTATATATATGATGATAAGAGTACATAAATAATGTTTATTTATTAATTAATAATCTATAATAAAAGTTTTTTTATCAAAATATTTTCATTTTTTGTAAATATCAAATTATAGGAAGGATTTCGAGCTTCTTATGAGCTTTCGAGTCGAGTAATGAGCAATTCGACTCGTTAACATTTCGAGCCAATCTCGAGTTCGAGTCAAGTTTTGACCCCGTTAACATATCGAGCCAATTTCGAGTTCAAGTCGAGCTCACTTGAGTCGAGTTTTGACAGAGTCTAACACGAGTAGCTCGCGAGTTGTCTCGTCTCATAAGCACCTCTATGAATTAGAATCGAATTTAAGAGCTTTGCTTTAAATGAATTAAAATAAATAACTTGGGGCATCAAATGTTAAAAGAATACTTTTAACTCAAATGGAAAAGCTATATAAATACAAGATGTATTTGTTAACAAATTTGCATCATCATAAATAATGGCGCGCAATCCCTCAATTTGATGATCTCTAATGGATTATTATCACTTTTTTTTTTTTTTTTTTTTATAGGGAGTTATTATCATTATTTAATTAGCTTATGTTTTATGTTACATTATTTTATATGTTTACTTATAATAAAGTTATGTGTATTTATAAGTGTGACAATTTTGATTAGCTTTGTTTTATGTTAATCATCGAACATATAATTCTAGATAATGTGAGTGATATTCAATGTGTGTGTATATATATATTTTTTCTAAACAAATTGATTTAGTAACTTTTACGATTATACAATACAGTTATGTAGACATAGACTTAACTGTATATTTTTTAAACAATTAGTCCTGCGTAATAAAAGTATTAATTCTGCAATTCTTTCATAATGAAGAATGCTACTTCGATTTCAATACGTTAACGAATTTCTTATAACCATACAGAAGGGAAAAAAGGGGAAAATTCATGAAAAATTGCACATGTCCAAATGTAATTGCTACTTAAGCTGTAAATTATAAGATTTGATAGCAGCACACCCTACAAAAGAGTGAAGAGCCTGAACTCTTTCATATATTCAGAAATTTTTTGAGCTTAAATTCGGTAAAGAGCCTCCTCGATCTCCTCCTCAGTTGCCGTAAAATTAATCAAAGTAGACAAAGAACAAGAAATATGATCATTCTCATACTCGGCTATAAACCTATCGAAATCAACTGTCCTTATCCCGGGATCAAATCTCATGCCTGAATCATTTACTTTATTTTGTTTCAAAATGTCAGCTAACATGAAGCCAAACTCATCCTTCCAATACATCACCTAATTTTATAAAGGAGAAACCCATAATCAGAACATATTATTTATTTTAATGCCCACATTAATTATCTTTAATCAAAATATAAAGTAGCAAAAATCCTACAAAATCAGAAAAGCATAAGCAAATAAAGTAGCAGCTCAAAATCCTCGGATATTGTTTGAAGCCACATGTACCCACACTGGAATTAACCTAAAAAATTAGTGTTCGACACTTGAGAGTAATAAATCATCTTAAAATACTTCTTATTACTACCATTTCCCTTAAAGAAACTCAAGACTAATCACACAAAGTATTGATTTTAGTGACATAATTCACATTGATAAGCTAGTGATAAGCTTGTGGGAGATCATTTCACTATTGCTGAAAGAAGACAAAGCTAAGAAACTTTTCCTAATTAACATAAATTTAGCCTCTAAATAGTCTTCCAAGTGCTTTAAAATGAACATCAAACACAGCAAAATAAATCTGAATTATAAGGATTATAGATGCAAGCATAATCTCATAATTCCATTATTTTTTGAGATATATGTTATTATTATGGACATAGTATAATATAAGAATATAATTATAAGGCTGAATTCCCTCTTGATGTATATAATAGCTCCTACATCAACATCAAACATGATCTCTAACTCTCATAATTCAAGAATACGTTGTTCCAATTCCAAAATCAAATACTATGACAAATCAGACAAACATTCAACAAATAATTCTTCTCAATTATAATTTAAATCAGCAAAAGAACTAAAAAAGAAAGAATATATACGTACCTGCAATAGTTTTGCTGTCCCACCTTTGCAACTACCCATTGTAGCAGCTTATGCTGCAAATACAGCCCCTCTCATCTTGCTAGATATAATTTACCACCCTATAACCTAAATTATTTCATCACATCAGAATCATAATTAAATATTGCTAATCATACTTTCAAAATTTAAAAATAACATCTTTCAGCATCAAATAACTTAAAACCTTAATTCAACATCAATCCATCAATAACGATAGCTAAATATTCCTCCCATTACAAAATTTCATTCATAGTATAATTTTACTTTAAATTCCAAATCAAATTTTATACATTACAATAAATTACCACCATCCAAGTTTTTTTAGTGGGGTAATACCACAAATCAAAGTTATACATACAACTAAACACACTACAAAATAAACATATTAATAGACCTCATATGTCATATCCAATCAAATAAAGATCTAAACAAATAAATAAATTAATAAAAGTTACCTTTATTTGCAATAGGCAAATCAACCCCCTAAAAAACACAGAAATCAAGTCTTTCATTATTGCCAAGAGATCTAATTTCAATCTATACAAAAAAAATTTGCATGACCCCTAATTATAAGCATAATTCTACAAACAGATTGAATATTGAAAGCCAAGATTAATGGTAGCTTAATAGTCACGGGCAAACCTCAATGATTTTGCAAAAAAAAAAAAAAAAAAATGCAGCGTTTCTAAATACTAATTAGGCAAAGTACCTATATATGATAATATGTTCGGGCTTCTTCTTCTTCTTTTTTTTTTTCGAGAACTGGCATAGAAATCAAGCAGAGCTTAAGACAACATGTACACAACATCATCCTCAAACATACCTCATGATACCTTCATCTTATACACATATTTGAACAAATTGTCATTCATTTTGACCTTAGGAGACTGAGTCTTTACTGATGCCTTGTATCGTGAAATCATTGGAAAAATCAGAATACTAACATCAAAAAAATCATATAATTTGTGAAAAATGAGCAACAAAATGAA